GGGACGCGTCCCCCCCGTCCCCCCGGTGGCGGCGCCCATGCCTCCCACCTTCAACAAAGTTTATGAATTGGCATGAAAGTGATGTCGCTCGGTTCAGAAAGAGCGAAAACGAATATCTACCAAATTTCACCGAAAAATATTCACCGGTTTTCAAGATATTAGACTTTTACTTTTGTTTACTTTTTTTGGATCTCCGCTGTTTCTAGCGACTTTATTTTAGAAGTGCGGCGTTTGCGGCAGATGTTGCGCGCAAATAGCATATACTACCGCGTGCTACAAAACGTTTTAGTCAAACATTTAAAAATCGTTAGATATCTGCGCTGACGTCACACATTCAGAGGGGTATTCCTAAGCATTAGCCCCTCTGAATCAAAATGCTGCAATTTTGAAATTCAATATTTCCGATTTAAGGCATTTCTCGATGTTGTGAGTGCCGAAACCGGTAATTGTGAGCCAGGGACCCCATTTTGGCTATCTCAACTCAAATCTAATGTTAAGGTGGGAGGGTCCCTTTAACCCGCGCCCTGCTGGGGAGGGGGTGTTTAAACACCCCCCCCCCTTGTGGTTTTTCGCGAATATCTCAAAAACGGCGGGCGGGCCGTTTTTGGTACACCTTATCATACATCAATTCTACACATGTTGTGAAAATTTCAGACCAAGGTCATTCAAGGTCAGGTCACCAGGTCACTTGAAGTGACCTCACCTCATAAAAAGTTTCAATGTCTGCCATAGCTACACCAAGTGACCGATCGCTTTGAAACTTTCAGCGATTGCTAAGAGCAATAGCATGTACAAAATTTATATCTCAGAATTTTGATATCGATGACCTAAGGTCAGGTCAATTTTGCGACCTCCCCATTATAAGTCAATGGGAGAAAATTGAAATGAGCCTCTTTTGGACGAAAGACATTATAAACACTCCCAAACACCGAATTACAAGTGGTTTAGACACATTGAACATGAAAATGGTGTCCGTGACCCTTGTTTATGCCCTGAGGTCATCTTAGGTCACGAATGGTATCTAACAGTTTTTCGCAAATAACTTTTGATAGAGGCATGCTAGAGCAATGAAAACACCTTAGATGTGTTCAGCTCGACGATACGGATCGACTGATATGCAGCATGACCCTTTCCGGTCAGGTCATGACCTTGACCTGAGGTCAAATTTTCAAGTTGACCTTTCAAGGTCAAGTTATAGTTCATTCGATGTGTCTTGACGACAGGAACACGATGCCGGTAACCATAAGCTCGTACAAGGCTTGGGGCAAAAGTTATTGCAGAAAAACTGTTTCCGAAAAAAATCGGTTATTTTTGCAGTTTTTGCCCCCTGCAGGCAAAACCGTTGACGTTAGGTCAAATCTGAGAGAATCTCCAGAAAGGGCGTTAATAGGGCTATTGAATGCGCTTTTCCGCGGCGCTGTAGCTCTATTGGTTCCCGAGTTATGCGTTGGCGTCTTGGAAATTTTCGACATTCGACCTGGAAATCGGCGAAATTTTGCCTTCAATGACCTCTGGCGACCTGACCTTTGACCTGACCAAAAAATTGACTGAAGTGATTTCGTCATTATTTTTGACGCTCTTTCGAACGCCGCCTTCCGCGTATCGCTACGTGGCCCAGGAGCCGAGTTACAAGGGGGGGGGGGTGTTCAAACACCCCCCCCCCCCCCAGCAGGGCGTGGAAATCCAGGACCCCCAGCCGGGCGCGGGTTAACGTGCCGCAGGTAGACGGCGGCACGGTCCTCCCGGGTCTAGCGTGGCCCTCTCTCGCCAGTTGCCAGCTGTATAGGAACGCGGGTCAAACGACGTGGAGCTTCCCGGCCGCGAACTCGCTGCCACCGAGTTAGGAGACGGACGCCTTATCCAGTAGGCCACGGAAAGGACTTAGCAGTGTGAGCCCAATAAGCTTGTGTGCTTCGCACATAGCTTCGCACAGTGTTTTTATATACCTTGGCTTCGCATATTTCTAAAAACACTGCACTTCTGACACGGCACAAGTCTTAGGATATGCCTAAATGGATTATGGACACATTTGAAAAGCAAAATACAGAAATATACTATGAACCAGAAACATCACTGTCATTCACGTGACACCGAGTCCGGGAGGATCTCGCAGAATGGGAGCCGTCAGCCGGGCGTAGGTGCCCGGAAGACCGGCGGAGACCGTGGATGCAGCCAAGATTCTTACAGATATGCAGCTACGTCATCGGGTAGGTCTGGACTGAGGCTCCGCAGCACCGACTGGGTGCCGGGACAGGGCGTCGGCTGCGGTGTTGCGCACTCCAGGATGTGGACGACACTGAATCGGAAACGGAGGCTCTTTTCTTTTAGGTTGCGCAGTCGGGGGTCGGGAATGTCTTCCAGGGAGCGGTCCCAGTAGCGGCGGAACACCTTCGATTAAGGGGGGCACTGCCGACTTTTGGTCCCATTCTTTCCATGCAGCGCCCATTGGGCTAATGTTAACCCGCGCCCCGCTGGGGGGGGGGGGCAGAATCTGCCCCCTCCCGTCTTTCGCCAATAACTTCTAAACGCATTACGCCAGCAACGTGAAACTTTCAGTACCTTATCATACATCCATTTGACACGTTCTCTAAAAACTTGAGCGAAATCCGTCGGAATTTTTTGAGTAAATGACGTTTTAGTGACGTCATGTTCGCCACTTTCGCCTAAAAAAAACGGCAAAATTTCAAACGCGGCTAACATCTTCATTTTTTAAGGAATCAAGACGTAACAAAAAAGGTTATACGTGATTCTACTTTGTCTATCAAATGGGTATCTCGGTTTTTTTAAACTTTGGATTTTGGCCCGATTTTTTTTTCTTTAAAAAAACTGACTTTTTTGGGAAAATAATTATAGAATCCAAAAACTTGAGTGTATCGAAAAAACCGGTACATATGTCAGAGAAGCGGTCTATGTGCACCTACATACCTACCTACCAATTTTCAGAAGAATCGGTTAAAAAATGTGGGAGTTATTCAAAATTGTATGACGTCACGACACACAAAATTCTTGAAAAATGATTTTTTTTAAGTTTAAACCTCGTACGGAAACAAAAATAGCACCATTCGATTCGCCGTGAAAAACTACATCAGATAGACACGTTTTAAGTCCTTAACAACCAACTTCAAAATTTGACCTCACTTGACCTGACTTTGACCTGAAATTCATCCAAAGGTGGTCCACATCACTTATTGAGTGAGCCTATTGAATTATATGAATAAAATGAAATGACCCATAAAACATATGTCGCACATGCCCTTTTCTGTATTTTGTTTTTGGTGACCTGACCTGACCTAACCTTGACCTTGACCGTTCTATTGCTTTTTACCGCGTCTTTCTAGCTTGCTTGTTTTCCGAGATAACCTGGTGTGGCCAATTGCCCCCCCCCCCTCATGGCGAGGTTGGCTGAGGGGCACATCCGGGCACGGGTTAAAAACGTCTAAATGAAGAAAATTTCACCTTTTACTGCCTATGGTGGTATCTAAGGTTAGTAGGTATGTGGGTAGCCACGGCAGAAAAAAACTTGTGAAGAGTTAGGAGCACTGGTAGGCCATGCCTTATCTCCTACTCTAACTGACGATAGATGCTAATGTGTACTGGGCAGCAGGGATGCGGAGCCGGAGCCGGAGCCGGAGCCGGAGCCGCCGGAGCCGGCATATTTTGCCCGGAGCCGGAGCCGGAGCCGGAGCCGTGAAACAATATAGCCCGGAGCCGGAGCCGGAGCCGGAGCCGTCAAAAAAGGGGGCGACTCCGGCTCCTTTTCTTAAAGGGACTATCCCACCTTTAACATGGGGTTTGAGTTGAGATAGCCAAGTTAGCGGCGAGGTTCAGAAACCACTATCTATCTAGGTTGCAACCCCCGCGGCCTCTTGGTGTTGAAGAAATTCGTTCCCTTCATTTGAAAATGGGCCTTGTACAAGGCCCTATCTTCAACATGGAGCAACCGTTAGTGTGACGTCACCTCGTTTAATCATTCTGATTTAAATGGGTTTGTTCGTTGAAAAATCGCTTGAAACTTGGTCTGAACTTTGTTGTGGTGCCTACAGAGTAAAAAGAATCAGCATTATGACAGTAATGTGGCCTGGGGAAGGAGGTAATTTTGGGCTGTGACGTCACATATTTGAATGTTTGTGTTTGGAATATGGGAAGCCTAAGATGTTTAATGAAAAATAAATGCCAGAACCGTGTTCCTGGTCATCCAATCTATAAAGTCGGGCACAATTTAACTGGTTTTAACAACATTTTAGAAGGTGGGATAGTCCCTTTAAGAGGAAACAATTATTTACCTAGTTCGGTTTGACAGTACAAGGCGTAAAACAATGTGGTATTCAAAACAGCCTTGTTATACAAATACAGAAGCAACGTGTACCAATCGGCCATCGCCTTTTTTCTTCCACCCGTATTAGGGGATGTACTGAGTAGAAGCCGGAGTCGGAGCCGCCGGAGCCGGAGCCGCCGGAGCCGGATCATTTTACTCGGAGCCGGAGCTGGAGCCGGAGCCGCCATGACATTTCACCCGGAGCCGGAGCCGGAGCTGGAGCCGATTTTTTTCTCCGGAGCCGGAGCCGGAGCCGGAGCCGTCTGAAATTTCCACGGCTCCGCATCCCTGCTGGGCAGTCAATGAAAACTATGGAACTATTACCAAGAAAAGTACTTAGGTAATGAATGTGAAAAAATATCAACATAAATGCGAGGAATTGTTTCATTGGTCATTTCAACCGTATATTATTAGAAAATAGGCATCAGCTACATACTAGATGCTATAAACAGCGTTACAGCAGCCGCAGCGCAAAACGTTACAGAGCAACTCTATTGTTCTATTAGGTACCTATCCTGCTAAGTGCTAATTTGGTGCTAATGATTGCTCAAACAATATCAAAATTGGGAACGCTAGAGTAGATGTATGTACGCCGTATATTAACTTATCTGTAGGTTATACGGGCAATATGCGATCGAGCATGACACTGCAAATTGAAATGCACGTCATTTTCGCACACAAATGCACAACATTTTCCCTTTTATTGCGGGGGCCATTACGTAAAAATCACGTGTCCTATTTTATATGTCAAAGCGCGAGACATGGTCAAAAATCAATGCCTTTCTGGCTCTGAATCAAGGGTGAATAATATCCAAGTGACATCACATTAATCGCCAAACACAGTTTTTAAAGAATGTTTTAATATCAATTATGAGCGCCAGGCAGAGGCGAAACAGCGGAGGACGCTCGACGGAACATCTAAGCCCAATACCTGAGCAATCATCTGTGAGTGGCGACCAGTCGAGGTCAACCAGGTCACTGCGAAGCGATGCAAGGTCATCTCGTAGTCATTCCCGATCTTCTGTTGTAGATTCAAGAACTCCTCGAGACGAAATGAGTGAAATGACAGCGGTAGATCCCGACAGAGCAAATGACGAGTTACACGAAAAAACGAAGGAAGCCCTTGGTAGTTTAATTGTTCGAAAAGACGAGCTAGAATCGAATGGCATCGAAACAGAAATGATGTATAAGGAATTGATGAATTGTGTCTCTCCATGGCGCCGAAAGAAGCTTCAGCAAGAGGCGAATCAATCACAAGCTGCATTAGAAGATGCATTGAGGAACGCCGACGAACTAATGAAACAAGCGAAGGGTGCATTCGAGGTAAGAATGATTTAAGCTATGGCAGGTCTTAGACCTTAGCCCGGGTCCGGGTGTGGGTCTCGGCCACTTCTTCATGGTGGAGGGCCTTATTGGCCACCCCGCTTATCTCAAAAGCTCAAAAAAGCTCAAAGACCGTTCTCACAAAAGCAATTGATAGCTCCAATAAGTTATTTTAGAATAGCTACATGCAAACTATTTTAGGCTCCAGTAAACGCGAAGGTAACAGGAAGTTATAAAGATATCGCAAAAAATGGTACAATTGTCGCGTCAATTTTCCCCCGATTTTATGCTTGCCACAAAAAGGTAAGCGCATAACTTGTAAATCAAAAGAGCTACAATCGTCACAGAAAAGCGCATTCGATAGCACATTTAGTTTTTTTTTCGCCCAATTTCATCGTAATTACCTACCATCCGGTGGTCAAAGGATTAGTCCACATGTGACAAAAATCGCAAAAATGGGCGGATTTTGCCGAAACATTTCATCTGACACGTTTAATTGGTCAATTACTTCATTACATCTCTTACCACCAGTAAAACGCCTTTTGGGAGAAGAACAAGCGAGCGAGATAGTCAGCCGCCCTGCACGTGCGGAAGGGTGAGAGGGTACCTACTTCTAACGGGCCTGTGCAAAGCATCCTTCTAACCGGTCGCTAGCGGTGTGCCAAATTTCGGCCCAGCCGTTCCTGAGATCTGGAAGAGGCATTTTGCACGTGCGCACGTGCAAACGGGGTCCAAACTGACTTTGCACGGCACCCTACTAACCGGTCCCCAACCGTGTACCAAATTTGAGCGCAATCGGTCCAGCCGTTCTCGAGATCTGGGAGCGCCCCCTGCACGTGCGCACGTGCAGTAGCACCTTAGCCGCAACACATGGGAATGCTTTGCCTGGTGGGTGCCTACCTGTATGCGAAATCGTTTTAGCGAAATCGCCCCAGTAATTAGGTACCGAGTTATTGAAATGGGAACAAATTTGGCACCTCTTCTTTTTGCATTTTGCACGTGCAATAGGGGTCACTCACATAGATCAAGAGTATCCGACCTTTGGTAGAAGGGATGCAGCTACCCTACAAAAAATACCGCAAGACAATCGCCCAAGCGGCTGCTGAGATATGCGCCCCTCAAAATCACTACTTTTTCAAAACAGCTTGAACAGTGAACACCCTTGACTTTTCACGTGGCACGTGCCACGACGGTCACTGAGATGTATCAAAAGTAGTCAATTACGGGGTAGTAGGGATGGGGCTACCCAACAAAAAAGACCGCAGGCCAATCGGTCCAGCGGTTGCTGAGATATAAGCCTCTCAAAAGCGTTACAGGCCGGGCCGGGCCGCTCATACGGATATTTTTCCGTGATATTGAAAAGACTTCGCTTCGCTCGCTGCGCTCGCTCGCTCGTAATCATCGTATTTCTTTCACCCAGACGCGTAGACTAAACTATGATTTGACCTTACATTTTATAAGTTGAACTTGCAGCTTTGACCTCAGGTCAAGGTCATGAGCTGAGTGTAAAAGGTCCTACTGCATGTAAATCGATCCGTATGTACTGATGAGATTAAAACATTCCAGGCGCCTTCATTGCTCTAGCAAGTCTCAATCAAAAGTGATTGTCGAAGAGCTGTTGGTGACCTTTTATGACCTAAGATGACCTTTTGAGTGGCCGCTGGCCATCAGTTGCACTTCCATCCATTGCATATGAATAGAGTTGTCGTGATTTCGAAAATATCTTGCGGTTATGCCCTGTATTGTCAAACCAGGAGACGTTTGTTATTTTACATTGCTTTATAATGGTGGGGTGACAACTGACAAGTCTGTCGGCACAAGTCCCAAGTTACGTATCAAGAAAATAAGAGATATACAAATTGTTTGAACGGATGTCCTCATACAATAAACTGAGCTGAGATTTAAAGTTTTAGGAGATAAGCTGTAGGAATGACTGGGTCGCAATTTTAGCAGGCGTGTTTATGACCTGGGTACCTACCAGCAGACGGTACCTTCCTACCTGACCTTAGGTGACCTGTGGTCAATAATTGTTTCAAACGATTTGCTGGCTCGTTTTTATGAGGAAGGCGCAGGAATATATCACCCAGTAATGATTAACTCTCCTGTTGCAGGCGTACCAGACCATGCAGGATCCCAAACGGAAAGAAGCAGCAGCTGGTGACCTTTTTTGGAAAGCAAAGGTCATGCACAAAACACTTACGGCCTGTGTTCAAGTCGCCTGTAATGCAGAAAGTGCTCGAGACCAACTTGCGTGGGCAGACAAAATGGGAAAGATAATGAATTCAATGATGGCCATATTCAGGATTATGGATGAATTAAAACAAAATCTATCGAAAGAAAGGTAAGCAGATTTACAGTGTCGCACACCTCTCTCAGCGCAAAAGTTGACTTATGCAATTCATTGAACGCCTAAAAAGTTGAAAACTCGTCGTCAAGTGTTCACACTAACGATCGCTTCTTATTTAATCCGTTCACGATGTAGATATGTTTGGCATTCAATTTTCCTTATCGTAATCGGTGAATTCGGCTGACATTATGTTGCATGTCCGTTAGACGTTACCTAAAGTTGGAATGAGTTGCTGGCGACTTACCAGCTGGCTGCCGACTGTTGCAGGGCTCTGACGAGGACGCTGACGTCGGTGATGCAGAAGCACGGCCACGGCGACGTGTTCGACGTCAAGGCCATGGAAGGCTGCGGCGACGAGGCGGACATTGCGCTGCTGCTGGCGCGCGCCAACATGGGCGCCCGCCGGCCGGCGCCCCCCGCTCTCAGCTCGCGGCTGGTGGCCGCTCTGCAGAGCCACCGGGGCGCCCTGCTGGCCGCCGGCGCCCCGCTGCTCGTGTGGGCGCTGTGGGCGGCTCTGGCACCCGAGCTGGGCGTCTGGGACGTGGCGCAGGCCGTGGGCCAGGCGCCCAGCGCCGTGCTGACGGCGCTCGGCCTGGCGCGCGAGGAGCCCGGCCTGCTGGAGACGGCGGAGCTGTGGCTGGCCAGCCTGGTGACGGGCCTCCTCTGCTGGCTGCCCGGCATCTGCAGCAGCGGCGAGCCCGTCTCGGCCGGATCGCTGTGGGCCGTCGCCAACAAGCTCAGCCCATTCTGACACGGAGAAAACGCACGTCGCTCTCCAAATTGACGAAGTCTTGTGTAGCTGATTATTTTTTGTCCGGTCGAATAAATTCAGAGTTAAATTGTATAGACTATCCTGATAATACATGTCTTTATTCCGTGTTTGAGTTTCAGTCACGCAATTATTTAACAGGACGACTTGCTTACCTAATATCTTTTTTTTTAATATTGCAGTGGTCGAAAAGCTAAAAATTCTTTTTATAACTGTACAAAGAAAATAACTCGTAATTACCATTCATCCGGATCCGCCTTTCAAAAAATCTGCCTTTCCAGTTTCTTCCTCCTCACATGCTTCTCTCGACTAAGCCTCATCGGTTGGGCTGATAAGTTATCTGGTCTCCAGGGTAACAGTCTGCACAGTAGACGCACAGGTCGATTATCGATATCATTGACCAATGAGCAGCGAACACTGTCTCTCGCCTCCGAGGAGTAGGTACACACCACACATAATGACGCAAAATTTCACCGCCAGCAATCAAAATCAACAAATTTTTCTCGTTGCTCAAAACGGCGCACTCTTGCCCATTGATCTGTGGCTCGCTTTGATTCGCTGGCGGTGCGCGTGTGATCCAACAATTCTCGTATCGACCGCTGTGGCTGGCGCGCTGCCAAGTGAGCCACCGTCGCTCCCCGCCCCTCCCCGTATGCCCCGCCCACCCAGGCCTCTCGTGCCGTAGCGGGGCGGCGCGCGGCGCGCACACGGCCTCTGGGGCGCGAGTGGGAAGCGTGTCGTCTACGACACCGTCTCGCCGAGTGTGTGTGTGTGGCTGTGTGTTGTGGGACGGCCCGTGGCGGTGAGAGTAGAAGCTGTATAGCGCCGGAACGCAGCTCGTCATGGATACATGTGCTCCGCGCTGTTTGACAAGAAATGCGGTCAACCGAACCAGATACATCGGCATTTTCACCACGGTAAGTAGGAAGTACATGTTAAATTTCCATGTCAGCTTTTGGGATACGCATGCCCCAAACAAATTTATAAATTTTCGGCAATTGTCTTTGGCGCTCCGGAGTAGGTATAGCATCTTAATCCGGTGCTGCGTTGAGCTGCACTAATCTCGTCTTGGTCTCCGGCCTCTGGGTCAAGGCCTACGCCGGTTATATAACTCGCATTTCTCTTGTTTGAACTGTGAGCGTGCCCAGGCACGTGGCCTGATGGGGAAAGCCTTGTGCTGCCGCGTTGTATAACAGGCTGCGTTTGCTCTGTAACCGAGTGGTTTGACCTCAACCTATCGTGATGATCGGAAGGATGGAACACCCGGAACACCCTATGATGATCCCAAATCGAAATCGAGCGAGTTAGCGATCTGAGGAAGTTAACTGTAAGTTAGTTTAGTTAACTTAAGTTAACTTAAGCTAGTGAACTATAATCGTAAGTTATAATCGTAACCTCTTCTGTCAGTATCTGTCAATGTCAAACCGTCAATTCTGAGCTGCTGATCGCTTGGTTGGCCGTTCCGATCTTATATGTGAGAAACATTATATTAGCATGCAATGGGATTTATGCTTGTAATAAGCTAATGTATAATGTACGATACCAATTTACAAACGATGAACTTCCCCGAAAGAAAAGGAGCTTGGCAATGCGGCTTTGTGTTTGAGTTATTTTATCCCATATGTAATTATCTAAGACATAGGGTAGACCCGGGAGGTATGGGCCCGTTTTGTGAAAATGCAATTTTCTTCCAGTGGGCAGTGGCTAGATGTGGTTTTTCACTGTGCTGTACGTGAAATTGCCTTTCGCCTGCAACGTGTGCCTGATAGGTATTAGGCATCTTGGATCAACGATTTTGTCTCGAAATAACTTTCAATAAATCGTGTGCTTTTTCGATCCATCAAAGTACACCGGGAGGTACTGGCCGGTGCCATGTTTCATATTCTTTTCTCGACATAAGAATAACACTCGTAGCTGGTATCTACCTTGATCTCTCTTAGAGCCCAGGAACCGCATAAGCGGCCAACAGCTTGCTTCATGGAGGTCACTTGGGCCCATATGTATTTTGGTACACTCAATCGTGCACCATGGAATAAGATAAATAACATTTTTCTGTTCGGATGAAATTTGAAGTTAAATTTTCGAACTTACGCGACAAAAATAAAATTTATCGACGGGGACATTCAATGAAAGCATCTTTTATTTATTTATGATCACCGGGGGTGGGTGGCCCGAACCTCCCGGTTATGACGCCATGATGTGCGTAGCATCTCAGCTTACCTATAATCTTGCAAGAAAACTTCATATTGTCTATCCAGTCTTAATTTGCATGCTTTAAACCTTATATTAGCGATGGTCTGACATCATTAAACGAGCCCATACCTCCAGGGGGCCCATATCCTCCCGTGTCTCCCCTACATATCGACACCTTTTTTTTAAACCCCACATCTGCTCTCCGGTGAATTTCCGGGAGGCACGAAAGATCTCCTTTTAAAAGTGTCCGATCGTCCGATCCTGATCAAATATGTGTGTTCGTAGGCCTGTTCTGGTATTGCTTTATCTGCCAAGACAGACAAACTTAAGAAAAAATCGAGTGATTGTAGGGGAGAGTGGGGTGTGTTGTATCAGTTTTTACTCCGAGACCCATAACCTCGTAACTATCCGTGATAAACTCATTATTTCCATACTATCCCCTTCCTTGATTCTTCTGCTTTTTTTGTGCAAAGTAACTTCTCCGCTACCTCTACCAGTTTTTCTTCTACGGTCTGCCGAATAGAACAATGTTTTTGATACAACCTGCCCCATGGCTTGGGTGAGTTGTATCACATGGTGGGGTAATTTGTATCACTATTTCACGTTTCAGGGAGTGTGCTTGCTACTGGTTTTGAACATAACAGCAACATTAAATGGGGTTAATACAATGTAGGGGAAGCCGGGGGAAGCCCGGGCGCGGGGGAAGCCCGGCCACCCCGTTTCCGGCTAAATTATTCACAATAAAATGCTCAACTGTTTGTCCTTTCAGCGTTGCAGCTAAGGTAACGCCAGCAAAAAAGTTAAGGCTGACAAAAGTTGCATATTGTTAAAGTTATAGCGCAAAAATGATATTTTAAGGGTTTTTAGCTAAAAAGTGAGATATGTTGCACTGTTAATGTTATACCATACAGTACTAATATTTATACGAATGTTATGTAAGGACCGTTTAAGTGTTTGTAGTGAGGGGTGACGAGGCAGGATGGCTTAAGTATGACATTTTTTCGAATATCGCTGTTCTAAAATAAAAATTAGCACATTGGGGTAACCCCGGGCGAGAGGCCAAGCTTACCCCCAACCGAGAGCAATGCCACTAAACCATGGTTTTCCATGAGATAATAGGTACTGAGCAGGTTTGGTTTACACCTAGATCAAAGATAAATTTCGAAAATAAACATGTTATCATAGACAAAGCCAGTCATGTCACTTAAGGTCAACTAGGGTCAAACTACGTTTTTGTAGATAACGCGACAGACAATGAAGCTAGAGCTTCAAAAATGGTGTCGTTGTGTTCTTCTTCATCAGCCGAGTCGAATGATATGCAATATGATGCATTAAGGTAAAAAGAAAAATAAATTTTAAGGAATTTTGAACCACACATTTTTTGTCAATTTTGCATCACGATTTTCATCGACCTGTACTGTATATGTAGTAGACGCTAGCTAAAATACCAGTAGTGACATAAACTCTAAGATGTCCAGAGCTAATCAGTAGGGTAGCCTGGGGCAAGACGCCCCAGATAATTTATTTTGCTACATAACTTATATCCCACATCACCTGGAAGGCCAAATTTGTGCTCAATGCGTTCTTTGGACATTTTACTTTAAATTCCACCCGTCAAATTCATTCACTTATGATCGAACTCCCAGCTAGGAAGTGATTTGTGAAGCAACTGCAAATGGGGCATTTTGCCCCAACCCCAGGGCAAAACGCCCCACGGCCTGGGGCAAGAAGCCCCATACTCTAGATTAAAGATTAAACATGCTAGTTGACTAAATCTTATATGAGAGGCCCGTTAGACCTTGGGAGGCACGGAACTGAAGTTAGCACCTTCCATCCTGTCAGGTGTTCAGCTATGACACTATTGTATGTACAGGTTTTTCGCCTGGCTCATAAGGCCAAATAATAAATTATTGCAATGCAAATGTTAACAAAATACTTCCTTTGCCATTAATTTGCTGAGAAAAGCACATAAAATTGCATAGAAACTTACTGTTCGCCAGTTACCGAACATTAGGAAGTGGGTATTCGGAACAACACATGAGGTAAAACGCCCCATGGGGCTTTTTGCCCCGCGACCTACTGGGGCGTTTTACCCCATCACGTAGTTCGGTCAAAGAACAACGCCTTGCACTCCAGCAAAAGATAATCTAAAACGTACCAACCCATTATTATAAGCGTTAGACACTACTTGTTCAAAATACATAAAAGTCGGTAACCTGATGTGGACAATAAAAGAACGCCATGATGCATAATCTGACTGCAAAACATAAAAATCACTCCAAAAACAAATTTTTGGCTATATCTCCCTAAAGAGTTATCACAATTTCTTTCCAGTTTGCTCATATAATGATCATATAGTGCACGTTTTATAGAAGAGAGGATGTTTCCCCAGAACCTCGCCAGTTCCGAGAAACATCGGTGAGGCGTTTTACCTCGGCGGGGCGACTTGCCCCGGTCTACCCTACCTTAATATTTCACTTTCCGTTAATATTTGGAAAACACATAATGGTTTCATCAACTCGTTGTAAAGCGCTGGGGAGGTGGCCGGCGTTACCCCTATGCCGGGCTTACCCCAGAAAAATCAACACTTTTTTAAAACTCGATTTTCTCAACCTTATACTTATTCCACGAAACCGAATTTTTGGGAAAACACGGCCAATGAACTTAGCTAGCTAGCAGGATATCAACATTTTATACAGCACGTATGGTATGTAATAAAAATGAAAAAGAGCTTACTATGCCGGGCTTCCCCCGGCTTCCCCTATAGGTATGCTCAAAGGCTTCACTTTATTAGACCAAACTTAGGTCAATGCAATCCGAACGAAACATCAACAGACTAGACGCAAAAGTGGCCCGTTAAGAGCAAAGAAGCCAACACATTGTGCCGAAATGGAACGAGCATTGACTAGCTACCTACAAACGCGAGCCAGGGCTTAGCTTTCGCGATCAAAAGCAACATACCCATACATACATACATACATATATGTTACAACATACCCCACCCGGCTCTGATACAACATGTACCTAGCCGCCATCTTGGAAAAAACATCCTCGTGCTCAAAAAACAGCGGACAGCTGGAGAAATCCGTTTTCACTCACGCAGCCTTAGAACCTATTAGGGGAGAGCGGGGAGAGTTGTATCATGTCCAAGTTGTATCAGGGCGAATTGTGCCAAACTTATCCAATGGATGGCGCTCGCGACACGACCAGCCGACGAGGTTTTCCGGGCGCCATCTTTCCCTGTTCTGTCTTGTGGCTGAGTGGACGCGTCTCGAGGTGAGAGCCGATTTTATGTTTTTTTAATGTCATTCTAAAAAAATAAGTTGCAAGAAAATGTGTGTTTTGGGCATTTAGATGTGCACGAATTTGAAAGATCTTCGTAGCGGTGTTGAGGGTAGGGGAGAGTGGGGTGGGTTGTATCAGTTTTTACTCCGAGACCCATAACCTCGTAACTATCCGTAATAAACTCATTATTTCCATACTATCTCCTTCCTTGATTCTTCTGCTTTTTTGTGTGAAGTAACTTTTCCGCTACCTCTACCAGTTTTTCTTTTACGGTCTGCCGAATAGAACAATGTTTTTGATACAACTTGCCCCATGGCCTGGGTGAGTTGTATCACATGGTGGGGTAATTTGTATCACTATTTCACGTTTCAGGGAGTGTGCTTGCTACTGGTTTTGAACATAACAACAGCATTAAATGGGGTTAATACAATGTATATGCTCAAAGGCTTCACTTTTATTAGACCAAACTTAAGTCAATCCGAACGAAACATCGAAACGAACGAAACATCAACAGACTAGACGCAAAAGTGGCCCGTTAAGAGCAAAGAAGCCAACACATTGTGCCGAAATGGAACGAGTATTGACTAGCTACCTACAAACGCGAGCCAGGGCTTAGCTTTCGCGATCAAAAGCAACATACCCATGCATACATACATACATACATGTTACAACATACCCCACCCGGCTCTGATACAACATGTACCTCGCCGCCATCTTGGAAAAAAACATCCTCGTGCTCAAAAACAGCGGACAGCTGGAGAAATCCATTTTCACTCACGCAGCCTTAGAACCTACCCTCACCACCGCTACGGAGATCTTTCAAATTCGTGCATATCTAAATGCCCAAAACACACATTTTCTTGCAACTTATTTTTTTAGAATGACATTAAAAAAACATAAAATCGGCTCTCACCTCGAGACGCGTCCACCCAGCCACACGACAGAACAGGGAAAGATGGCGCCCGGAAAACCTCGTCGGCTGGTCGTATCACGAGCGCCATCCATTGGATAAGTTTGACACAATTAGCCCTGATATAACTTGGACATGATACAACTCTCCCCGCTCTCCCCTATTTGTGTTAGGTGCATTTACTTACTTTCAGATGTTTTCAATGTAGAATCAGCAACAATAACAGGTATACTATAATAAGAGGTAATAAGCAAACAACATTTAAATCATGGTTTTACTATTAAACCAGTAAAACGCCTTTTGGGCGAAGAACGAGCGAGCGAGATAGTGGGCCCTGCACGTGCGCAAGGGCGAGAGGGTACTTCCAACGGGCTTGTGCAAAGCACCCTTCTAACCGGTCGCTAGCGGTGTGCCAAATTTGAACGCAATCGGCCCAGCCGTTCCTGAGATCTGGAAGCGGCATTCTGCACGTGCGCACGTGCAAGCGGGGTCCAAACTGACTTTTGCACGGCACCCTACTAACTGGTCCCCAACCGTGTACCAAATTTGAGCGCAATCGGCCCAGCCGTTCTCGAGATCTGGGAGCGCCCCCTGCACGTGCGCACGTGCTGTAGCACCCCAACCTTACCACATGCAGATGAATTATCTGATGGAGACCTAACTGTGTACCGAGTTTCAATTCAATCGGCCCAACCGTTGTGCCGTTATTGAGGTTGCAATTTTGGGGGTTCTTAAAAAATGTCCAACTTTACCACGCGCCACGTGCGGTGGTTGGCAAGAACGCATGGTGGCCATCACACCACAGAACTTTTACGTCCAAGTGACATTCAGTAAAGAAGACCGCTTGTCAATCGGATGTCCCGTTCCTAAGATATTAGCTTTTGAAGAGCGTCCCCCGCTCATACTCAGGATTTTCCCTTATATTCAGTATGAACTCGCTCGCTCGCTGCGCTCGCTCGCTCGTAATGATATATTTACGACGCGTTATTATTATGTAACCTACACATTATGATATTAGGTATTATTATTACGCTTTATTATTACGCCTTTCGCTTTATTTTGTATAGGTATTACACGCTTCACTACCTATTACACGATATTACCCTGAATATCGTGCTATTTCTCTCCAAATAAATTTGTCTTATGTTAAACGCTATCTACATATGATCATAGGTATCATCTACATATGTACATATGATCTACCGCTGTTTTAGATGATATGTATTATAAGTTAAGATTTTAGTCATTCATCAAATGTCTTATTTTCCTGATTTAGCATTTATGCTTCACTGCTAAATAATGGCACCGTTTCTATAGACCATTAACAAATTATTTAGCGGTTGCTACTGAGTTGGAAACTATTCAAAGTGCATCGTAGACGGTAGAGTACCTATATTGAAAATTGTGAAAATGTCTTAGATGCGGGACAATATACGTAATGCGTTATATAATCGCGAAATTTGACCGCTGAACTACCCGTTCGGTTTGTGATCTCGCATGATCTGTCGCTAAACATTGATAAAAAATTAATTATCGTTAGTGTGCTATGGTAAAAAAGTAAAAACTAAAACGTTCGTAAATGCACAAATCTTTTCGACGTCTCGCCGAGAGATACCCAAACAGCTGTTGCGTCCGTCTCTGTGCGTTGTATCTCACCATTCCGTCTGTGTCTCCGTCCTCAGGTGGCCGCCACCGTCTCCGTGTCTCTGCTGTCATGGACGGTGGCGACCGGCTCCAGCGACCAGGAGCGCCCCGACGCCCACCCCCTGGAGAAGGCGGCGCGGGAGGGTGAGGGTTTTATTTTGTTGGCGAAATAATAATCTATATTTAGTTATGTGTCGGTCGGAAAATGTATTGGTATAATTGGCGAACTAAGTTAAAACTGGCGAAACAATAAAAAATGTTATAACCAGTCCTCTAATTTACACATCAACCGAGGTCCGAAACATATTGCAACGCTGGGCTTCGAATGAATGTACTAGATAGGTCGTGTCTTAGCAATAGTTCAATGTGCAATACAAATTACAATGGTCTTATCCCGCACCGAAGCCATGAGTGCCTTACCGGCCTTACCTAAAATTGACCCACGCCACGCATGCACTGATCGAATATTGCCGCGTAACGAGTAATATGTATGGGGGTAACTAATGTGCTAGACGGCTACTGGTACTTTAGTATAATGGTGTACACTTCTTGAATATTAAATTATGTTACGAAGCGATTAAAATATGCTTACACGATTCACGAATGTGACTATATAAGCTCGTTTCACCATACACGTTTTTATTTATCGGTACGTTTCACCATATGGTTGATGTACAAGTATGTAGTGCAAGATGTCAATTATAGCTAATGTATGAAAATATATATTTTCAGAACAGCGAATCATCGGAATTATTGCTCTGGTAGTAAACATCGGATGGCTTGTGGTCGCCATCTTACTTGTTACGGCCGTTAGAAAGGTGAGTATAGTGAGTACCTGACACCTGCACACCTTGTCTGGAAATGCATGTCGTCATACCAAACAGTAACGTTAGACCTAATAATGTTGGTCATAGATTTTGAAGTTCCATGCAGCAAACCATTTCACGTTTCAGTTTGTGCCGGGACACTCAAGACGAGGTCTTGTGAAACTTGAGCATTTGCACCTGTCCGGGGATATTTGTATGTTATACATGACAGATCTAGGTATATATATATATATATATATATATATATATATATATATATATATATATATATATATAGCGACAATATTTTAGTCCGGGAATTTCTTTAAGGATATACGGCTGACAAACAAATTTACCATCGGGTAGTACCAACCCTGTCACTAAGACCTGACTATACTCCCCTCCCCCTGCCCCTGCCGCAGCGGTGGCCTGGTCTGGCTGTCCCCCCCCCCCTCCATGACTGCCCCTCCCCCTGTCGCAGCGGTGGCCCGGTCTGGCGGTGCCGTTTCTGGTCTGGACAGCTCTGTACGGGCCGTTCTGTCTGGCCGTCATTGTGGTCTCCCTGCGCCGGATCGTGCTGCTCTCCGGCGCCGGCGTGGGACAGAGCCTGCTGACCCCGCTGATCGGCTCGGTGGTCATGTGCCTCCTGGCACCGGCCGCCTACTCAGTGCTGGCGGTGATTGTCGCCGCGGGACGGCGACAGATGATGGAGAACGCAGAGACAAGAACGCCATCGAAGACTTGAGCTCAGAAACTTTGTCGCTTGTGAATAAGCTATTTTTGTCTGCGTCATAGCTTAAGAGCATTTCGAATTTAGTGTCATGGAAAGCGTGGATCTAGTTATGCTCCAGTCGATTTATTATCATGCCTGTCATCTAATTATACATATCTTTAATAGGTATGTAGGAGTTCCATACATCCGCTAGCATAGTCAGAATATGACATTAGCCCCCCTCAGATATTATACGCTGCCGCGTAATGTGTTGACATGGATGAGATAATACGCGTCGAGTAGTAGGTACACATCAAGCACCTATCCACAAGTTCATTCATGGAAGGTGCTAATGTGACCATGGCCAGGCTTGGGAACCGCGCGGTTTAAACGCCGACTGAAATAAACGAGCTATTGCCAAGACACTTTTAAGTTTTATCGTATATCAGATTATGTTATCAGATTATCTCCAAAGCGAGTAACTTGTATAAGAGCTCATCTGTGCAAATGAGGGTCAAGCTATAATAGCAACTGCCCTCTGCAGGTTACTTGGACCGCAGCCCGGACGGGAAAATACGGCCCGTGGAAGAGGATGATCTCAAAAGACCGGGTGCGCCGCAGCGGCCGAGTCCGTCCCGTTGGAAAAGACGTGCCGCAATGGTGAGCGGACAGGCTGCCCAGGTGCTCAAACGGTCACCACTCGTCTCCGGGTGGAATACCGACCTCCTAGCCTTGCCTAACTCTAATGGCACTGCCTACACTGTCCACTGAGATAAAAATTTACTCTAGGCTCTCGGAATTCTCTGAAACTCGGAAACTCCCACTTAATAACTCTTTGAAACTCCCTCAAATGTCGGTAAGCCTAGCGTAGACCAAGAGTTTTCCGGTGGAGCTGCCAATTCGGCTGCGTCCGGGGATGGAGTTTACCGAGTATAACGCGCGGAGTGTCAGCCAGCCCTCACCAGCTGCCGCGATCCATGATCGGCAGTAGCGGCGGAACATCCTCTGCCGACTTTAGGTCGGCAAGTCGGGGCACTGCCGACTTTAGGTCCCATTCTTTCCATGCAACGCCCATAGGGCTAATGTTAAAATGCCAAAATCAAAAGGGGGCACGGTGCCCCGGTGCCCTCCCCGTTCCGCCGCCTATGATGATCGGTTGACTGACATTCGTCGTTATGGAACGGAATTGGAAAAGTATGATCATGAATGAAATCTGAATGAGGATGATATAGATTCCGCGAGGATAAAAAGACGAATGCGAGCCCAGACGGCTGCCGAGTGCCGATCCTCTAGAGGCCCCAAGACCTTTTGCTTTCCTCTTTTTGTTGCTAAAGCAAACTTTTGTCGCTAACGTAAACTGCTTCGTTTTCTTTCTTTGTATTTATATACTAATAGTCAGGGGCGCGGGAACTACTTTCTGACTGGGGGGCACACCATAATAGAGATCAACCTAGGGTACCCACAAATCTAGTTTTCTCACCGGTTTTAGGCCACTTATTTTTCACTCCTCGGCTTTTTCAACAAAAAAGAAAACATCTGCCAAAAAAGTGTGGTATTCCGTCTCAAAGCTGTGGGGGCACCGCCCCCACGGCCCAAGAGTTGGGGGGGCAAGCTGCCCCCACTGCCCCCCGGCTCCCGCGCCTATGCTAATAGTCACCGCATTTCTTTGCTATGAAAACGATTGAAATCTGAGGAGCTTTTGGAACAAAGATAATTAGAACAAGTACACGACCCGCAGCGTCCAAGACCATCTTTCTGACACCGCCTATGATAATATCCGATCCGCTTCATATTCGGAATAGAGCATATCTATGGAAGAGAAGCATTGACCCCAAAAGGGGACCGAAACAGAAAAAGAATGCATCCAATGCATCATTTTATCTTCATGAGCTAAGAGCTAATATGAAACCTTGATTAGCCTTATTGCAACGCTTCACCTCGTTCTGATTACGTATATCGGGATACTGCATTTAGTGGGTTAAATTTCTTAGTTTTGCAGTGATTTGGACGAGGATTAAGATTAGACATTCAAAACTATGAATTTTTTTCTTGCTTCTTTCAGCAAGTATTTTATCTTTGTGTTAAATTTACAATTCAAAGCAGATATTGCTCAATATTTGATCAAATCTGATGATGTCATCAAACCTTTCATGACCAATTATTGTGATGTTAAATTTTCACTTCGTCTGTAAGCGGCAGATGCTGCGCGCCGCTATGGCGGTCTCACTGCTGAAAAATTCATCTGGACTATTAGGTGGTAAGTGACAGATGTTCTTTTTCAATATAAATAAATAACAAAATATTGATTATTTAACTGAGTAATATTCGTGCATGAAACTCATCGATTTTGTCGGTATTTTGTGCTTATGTTCTGCGTCACTTTCGTCTTTTTCGTATGTTGACGTAGATCGTCGAAGGTTACAGGCTATTTCTCTACATTTAAGCACCACCTGCATCTCCTATCCTCAATTTAGATCTAAATGCTCAATTCTTAAGTCAAAAAGACGTCCAACATCAATTAAGGTTATGGGGTTTGCCTATATTTCCTGGGTGAAGTGAATGGAAGGGTTTATGGTTTCCGAACTAAATGAATTGAAATAAGGAAGAAAAATATGCAAATATTTAAATTTGACCACATCTCTTTTGTTGATGCTTAATTGATAATATATTTTCTAAATTAAGATAAAGATCAGATTGGTGTACTAGGCAGTAGGTATCCACATTCCACAATGTGACTGGTGGTGTTCGTAAGTCACAAGTATTGTGGTATGTGCTATGTTGGTTTCATGAGTGAAAAGGTTTTTTTGTAGTGTAGCCATTCAGATGCTGTTTCCTTTCAGCATGGCAGGTGAAATAGTTGTTACTCTCACTCATCTGTTAGGGCTTCATTATTCTAAACAGTGGGTAAAGGCGATTTAAGTGTCAGTCAGTGATTAAGGTGAAATTCAAGCACTTCACTTTATCAATGTTAAAAGGTGTTCATTTGCTCAGTTCATTTGCTAACATCTATCAATAGAAGTAGGTATATGGGACACTGTTAAAGAGCACCAAGTGTGCCATTGGAACAATGACTGCATTGAGATGGGTAGATCACAAAAAATGATAGATGCTTCATTTTGTATGCATACAGTATTGCTAGACATAAGGTAGAAAGCAATCCATATGCAACCTATGAACTATCCCCATGCTACTTTGCATTTGTCCTAAAATTCACATGTGTAAGTCGTAATGACCTGGGATCTATTGGATCAATACCTGTAACATGTATGATGTAACCTTGATGTATCAACTACTGTGATAAAGTCATGCTTTTACACGAAAACATTTAAATAAATAGGTAAATGATAGATTGATAGGATAATCATCATATTCATATACTTTTCAAAAGAACTTAAACAGTTTTTCCTGCTATGCTCAATTAATTAGCTCACTGAAGCTCATGTGTAGTTCAATACTGCCACAAACTTGATGTGTAGGTGTATGCAATGTAGGTAGACAATCAACAGAACGTCATGGCACGCTTAATGCTCACAGTTTTGTTGTTCATTGGTTGTATGAGCTATACAGAGTTCATTCATATTGCCCTTATTTCAAGATATGTAGGCTACAATATAAATGTAGTTAGGTGTCCTATGTTTGCTGATTTGTTAGTGCAATGAGCAACCTTCTCCTAGAATAACCACGCTCCTCGGTCGCTGTGCGACAGTGAGCCGCGGTGCGCTCTCGGCGGCTGTGCGGCCCGCCTCCACGGGCGGAGTCAATGTGGCGCAGGCCGGCGAGGTGGAGGTGCTGCCCTCCACGCGGCTGACAGACCTGCCGCGCGGCCGCGGCGGACGCTCCAGCTTCTCGGGCCAGGTGGTGACCGTGTTCGGCGGCACCGGCTTCCTCGGACGCTATGTCGTCAACCGGCTCGGCAAGACCGGCTCCCAGGTCAGCGCGGCCACCGGTGGAGCGATCAGGGAGGGATGCTATGGAAGAAGGGGGACGGGGTTAGTTTTTTTTTGGGGGGGGGGGGGATTTGAACTTCATGTAAGTCGTAGTAGAACAACAGGACTTAACGACTTAACTTGTTCCTTGCTTCAAATATCTGTGTTGATACTTTCAGCATGGTATTATCTCAGGCCACCAATTTCGATTGTTGATATTGGCGACCGAGCTGCGCGCCTTTACTAATGCCTAGTAAGCTACCTCTACGACTGTTATGCGTCTGAGCCCTTGACCGCGCTGCCCCCGTCAGATCGTGGCCACCTACCGGGGCGACGACTACGATGTGCGCCACCTGAAGCTGGCTGGCGACCTGGGCCAGGTGGTGTTCTGCCACTATAGTCTCAAGGACATGGACTCGATCCGCAAGGCCGTCCGACACTCCAACATCGTCATCAACCTGGTCGGGCGCGACTTCAACACCTGGAACTTCAAGGTGGGCAAGGGAGTATAGGGGAGAGCATGCCAAGCTCCAGTTAGCCCGGTATATGGTGCGGCCTCTTCGGCGGCAGCGACGTGTCGTGTTGTTCAGTTCCACATGGGAGGTTCCAAAATATTGAATTACCCGCGGATACAGCATACTGCATAGGCGCACGAAATGTAGGTTTGTTCAAATTCCATATCAGAACACCGTTTCCTTCACTTCTTTTATTTTACCATTTAGAGCTGTACGCTGTGTAATGCACGCCCACCATGACCACTCCAACACCTCAAAACCTTCCCCATCAGTTCGACGACGTCAACAACGTCGGTGCACGCGCCATCGCGCGGGCGTGTCGCGAGGCCGGCGTCAAGACGCTGGTGCACTTCTCGGCGCTGAACGCCGCCGAGAACCCCGAGGGCCACGTGCTGAAGGGCGGCTCGCAGTTCCTGAAGAGCAAGTGGCGCGGCGAGATGGCCGTGCGGGAGGAGTTCCCCGACGCGGTGGTGTTCCGGCCGGCCGATATGTTTGGTCAGGAGGACCGCTTCACTAGGTGGGTGGGGAAAGGGAGGGTCTGGCGTGGGTTTGTGTGTGTGTGTGGGGGGGGGGGGGGCAGATTGGAGCATGGAGCAAGTGTAAGAATAAGGATAGGGCGGGGAGAGAGGGGGGAGTTGGCAGAGAGTTGCGGGTTGCGAAGCCGCTGCCAGCTGGTCAGCTTATTTGACAGGACGTGTTCGTTCCCGACTGAAGTAGCTCACGCTCGCTTTGGACTAGGGGATGGAACCGTACGTCGACCACCGCGTAGTCGTCTGCCCAGCCCCTGACGTGCGCCCATGCCCCGCTGCAGGTACTTTGTTAGCCTGACCCGGCACCAGGGTAAGTGGATGCCGCTCTACCGGAAGGGCGAGCACACCATCAAGCAGCCCGTGTTCGTGGGAGACGTGGCGCGCGCCGTGGAGAAGGCCATCCGCAGCCCCGACTCGGCCGGGGAGACCTACGAGGCGCTCGGGTGAGTCGGTCTAACGGGTGACAGGGGGCTGTGAGAGTTGGGGGGGGGGGGGAGCGCTCTGTCGTTTTTGTGGGGGGGGGGGGAGTGAGTGACCTGTAATCTTACGCAGTCGTCTGTTTGCGGAATCCTCAGACACGCGATAGAACTCGACGAACCTTGCTTCTTACGTAAGTCTGGACTTTCTTACTTAGCGCCGAGCAAGTCAGAGACTATATGACCAATGGTCACTGGATGTTCTAAACTTTAGGCAAGAAATTATGTAATCACTGCAAATGACAATGGTAAATTAGGCCAATAACCCTCCCTATCCTCAACAGCTCACCCTTAGTGAGACTACCTACCTATTGAACGTTTAACCCCCCGCAGTCCGCGCCGGTACCAGCTCAGCGAGCTGGTCGACTGGTTCCACCGCGTCATTCGCAAGAAGAGCGACTGGGGCTACATGCGCTACGACATGAAGTGGGACCCGTTCCTGATGCTGCGCGCGCGCGCCAACGAGATGATCTGCCCCAGCTGGCCGATCGGCACCTTCGTGCCGGATAAGGTGGAACGGGTGAGTACCAGACGGAGGGGTGGAGTGGCGGGCAGTGTATCGTAGGGTGGCGGGTCCCGACGGGCATATGCGGCCTGAATGGATGGACCATGGTTGCTGCAGAAGCCTATTAGCTGCATGACTCAGTTGATGCGAGATTATGCCGGTGTGTGGTGATAAAGGGCACGCTGTTTTTATCATCCGTCATTCCGAAATGACCTACTATGCAGTGCGTGCTGCTTTAACCCTATTAGTGGCAGGCTCCTGGCTACCCCCTATTAGTGGCAGGGGGGGGGGGGGGGCTGTTTACGACCCCCCCTTGATATCTCGAGATCTAGCGGGCCGATTTTCAAAATTCAAACGGCATTCGATTTCGCTCAACGTGATCTACATTTCTAAAAAATAAAAATTAAAAAATTTCAATAGGGGGGGTAGAGGGGGGTAAAAACGGGCAAATTGCAGATACATTTTAGACTGTTTATCACGGCCAGGTTTCTGAACCAATCTTAACGCAACTTTTGCCGATCGATAGAGAATGAACCAGGAATTCACATGGATCCTAAAAATATGCATTTTCAAAAATCATAGGCGGATACAGATCATTGAGATTGGGGGTACACAAAAAGTATAGTAAATAAGGTTTTTGTTGGTACTATTTCTAAAAAGGGTGGTAATGGTCTTGTTATGTTATAATTTTCTTATGAGAGAACGACTAAAATTGTATTGGTAATGCATAGGCGGTGTCAGGGCACCTATGTTGGGAGGTAAAACATAACCCCCCTTTTTGGACGCCTGGATCCGCCTATTATAGCAAAAACGTGTCAAAAGAGGATGCACAATAACTGTATATGTTATCACATGATACCTTTTATTCACTGTTCGTAAAACTGGTGCAGCATCGTGATCTTCGCCCAAATGACTCGCTTCACGAATAGGACCCCCCAATTCCCAGTGCTCTGGAGCCGCCCCTGGTAAAGTTATGAACTTGAAATTTTCAGGGAATGTGCCCAATTTAGTTTTAGGAAAAGTCAGAAAATTTCAGCATCGTAGCTTCAGCGGTTTCGGAGATATTCCCGAAAAACCTGAGGGGTGGATAAAAACAACCCCCCCCTGCCACTAATAGGGTTAAGGCCCACGGCATTCTTAGTGAATGTTCAGAGGGTGCTGAAATCCCATCCACTGTCATCAGTCACCAACGTCGGTGACACATTCCTCCCTCGCTCAGTCTCGCCGGTACCACAGCCAACCGCCCCGTCCGCCGCGCTCCCTGTTCATCCCCTCCCCACTCCCACAGGAATGTGTGACTGACCAGCCGACCGGGGCGCCCACCCTCTCGGATCTCGGCGTGCCGCTCACCACCATGGAGGAGCGCATCATGTGGGAGCTGAAGCCGTTCAAGGCGGGCGCCTACTACGAGGAGCAGCTGGACGAGTTTGAGAAGCCGGCGCCGCCCCGCGTCGCCGTGTGATAGTGTCTCAGAGTGTCTGAGTGAACTGCCGGGGTTCGGGTGACAGCGCCGGGCGGAACCGAGACCCGACCGGGTAGAATGTGATGAGATAATGTGAATATATTGTAAATAGGACGATGATGGGTTTGGTGAGGGAGGAGTTCGTGGGAGTGGCGACGAAAGCAACAGGAACCAGCGGTTATTGGAGTGGGAGCCAAGGGCCTTGAATGCGATTTTTTGCCTATGCACTCGCTTACGTGCCGTAAAATATGCACGACGAACTGCACAACCTGACGATTCGGCCGACTGATAATGCGAACTCTCCGTGTCGGTCATATCCAACGCCGTTTATTGGCGCATTTTGTCACAATAACAGCACCCATTGCTGGTACGGGGGCGCACTCTTACAAGAGAAGCCACCCACCAAATAACATACAAAGGCAGATGAAATGATCACATGGCGCATATCCATCATACAACACTGACGGACCTCTGTCACACACAAACGCGTGACGTAGATGTGATGTGAATGAAAACAACATGAAAGCAGTGATGCGGACTGGAGCTCACGTCTTTCTTTTCTTGGAATCTGGCTCGTCCGAGTTTTCCACGGGTTGAAAAATCTGCTTTGGCTGCGTCCTGTCAACACAGAACAATTGGTAAATAGCACGAATCGACACCAAACACAACAAATCCTGAAACGGCGGTATCGACCTGCAGAATATGGTCCTCGCTATGCTTCCCTCCGCATATCTTACTGCCACACCACAGCGTTATAGAAACACTGACGACGGAAAGCGCAGACCGAATTCGCGGCAGGCTGAGTGATTCGAAGTCATCTGCCGCCGCCGTCTATCGATTCGTAGCCACTTCTATCCAAAGCCAAATACGTCTCTCATCCGCCTAATTAGTGCGCACACACACCCTTCCATTCCATCCCTTCCATTCCATTCCAACCTTTCCTTCCATTGACTCACTTGGCGTACGCAGGGGTCACCCAGTAGGGGTTCTCGGCCGCCTCCTTGGCGTGTTTCAGCAGCGCCTCGCGCGGGTCGCCCTCCTCCCGTTTCTTGGCCTCCACTCCGAGCGTACGCATAATATAGGAGGCCATCGTGGAGCCGCCAACGGCCACCCGACCGCCCGTGCCTGGCGGCGAGAGATGAACGGTTAGGGTTGGGCACAAATAGAACCATTGTTTGTATATCCATTACTGTACGATGTCGAAGAAATAGTCAAAACAAACCTCAAAGGAAAATGATAGATCGGGCATTAAGAAGTATGTCAATTTTAAATTCTTTTCACGCCAAAAGGGAGGAGAACGAGCAAGCTGAGTGTAAGTTTGTGGGCACACGCAGTTAAAGCACTCAGAAGACAAGCACAGCGTCATCCGCTGTACTGACCTGACTTTCCCTGCGGCAGATCGGGCCGGCGCGACTTCTTGGGGTCCTGTCGCGCCTTCTCGGCCTGTTTGTGTGTGGATCGCGCCCTCGGCTCGCGGAACATGGGCAGCGCGTGCGGCGTGATCACCTGGGTGTTCATCACCACGTCCATCTGTGAACAGCGGGGGTTACAGTTACCATGGTAACGGTCGCAATTCGACGTAGATAGGTACAGCGAACTCCAAATTAAGGTTATTATTTATCACCAAAAGCAGCCTTCAACAGGAACCAATGACAACAGGAACCAATGAGGAACCAACAGGAACCAATGACAACCCAAGTCCACCCCTCCTAGTCTCCCACCGTACCTGTTTGGATTTGCTCTTCTTCTTGCCTGCACAGAGCAGGGCGCCCCGGTGCGACTTGTCCGGGTCGTAGAGCACCTTACACACACCGCTGCCGCAGCCCAGCAGCAGCTGGTTGATCCGCGGGTGCCACACCGCGCGGATCACGTGCTGAGGGGGGAGGTAAGGCGTCAACACATTATTCATGGTGTTCGCAATAGTCTAAAGTGGGGCGAAAACGAAAGAGCGACCTAACTCTTGAGACATCAAGAAGTGTCTTGTCATGTGAGCTGCAGAAGATCCTTGCAACATTTTAAATGCCACATTTACCCGGTAAAAAAACTAAATCATAAAATATTGAGCCTCGATGCGGTCAATTACCTTTAGTCGGATTATCAACTTTACAAGTTTCATTTACTCTTCATATGCACATCAATCCTAAAACATCGGTTGAAATAAGTCACCCCAAGTCGTGCGCCCCGAACTCACGCCCTCCGCGACCGGCAGCTGGGCGACCTTCTCGAAGGTGCTCCTCAGGAAGAAGTGCAGCTGCCCGAGGGTCTCCCCGCGCTCCAGGGAGGTGCCCGTCACCACCAGCTGGTCGTTCGGACTGAACAAACAGTCGGTCCTGCGGCAGACAGCGCAGGAAGCTTATCAGTATGTGGCAAAGAACGGGATAGTCTAAACTGAGCATGCAAACTGAACTAAGCATCAGTGTGTAATGAGAAATATTAATCCTTCCTCCAAACAAAAATAGTACGTTTGCAGCGCCGACACAACGCAAACTACGTTTAAAATAGTTACATAAAACGCTTAATAGCAGAATGACTAGCACTCTTAACAACAAATACGCCATACGCCAGCCTATCGCAATCATGAAACTGCCTGTTCTGCCGTCGGGAGGAAAAAAGCCGTATCTGGGGCACTTTTTCGAATTGAAAATTGTTCAGGAGAGGCAAAAACGCGTTTTTTGTTATAAAATTCGTTAACTTTGCTCAATAACGAAACAAAACATACTGCAGTGATCGGAAAGAAATTTTACATCCAATGAAAGTGGTTATAAAAGGGAAATTATTTTAACCTAAAAACAAAAGGCGAAAAACTTTTTTGCTTCCAATTCAACCCCGAGTTTGCGGAATCTTTCTTTCACGAAAAAAGCCGTATCGTGGAAGAAAGCCGCATCGTACGCGACACCTGAGCAATACTGTCATGCAAAAAGCCGTACCTATGTCTGATACATTGGTTAACCGATCGGGAATAAAGCCGTATCGCCATTTTTGTTTAATCATATTGTCGTCAAAAAGCAGCATCATCGGTGCATTTGTATTGACAGCGTATTGGTTCATAAAAGTACTAAACCAGTATAACGCCTTTTGGGGCGACTAACGGAGCGAGCGAGAGGGTGGGCCTTGCACGTGCGAAATTGCGAGGGGGGTACCTCCGACTGACTTGTGCATGGCATCCTACTAACCGGTCTCTAGCGATGTGCCAAATTTGGGCACAATCGGCCCAGCCGTTCTCGAGATCTGGAAGCGGCACCCTGCACGTGCGCACGTGCAAAATGGGTCCCAACTGACTTGTGCACGGCACCCTACTAACCGGTCCCTAACTGTGTACCAAATTTGAGGGTAATTGGTCCAGCCGTTCTCGAGATCTGGAAACGACCCCTGCACGTGCGCACGTGCAGCAGCGCCCCAACTCTAGCACATGGATATGCAGTGCCTAGTGGGTGCCTACCTACATGCCAACTTTCAGCGCAATCGGCCTAGTAGTTACCGAGATATTGCAACAATTACAAAACGGACACCTCTTCGTTTTGAACGTGGCACGTGCATAAGGGGTCACCCACATGCATCAGGAATAGTCCAATACTTGGTAGAAGGAATGAAGCTACCCTACAAAAATTACCGTGTGTAAATCGGTCAAGTGGCTGCTGAGATATAAGCCTCGCAAAAGCGTGACCACGGCCGGCCGGCCGGCCGGCAGGCCGGCAGGCCGCTCATACTCAGAAATTTCCGTTAATCTAAATTTCCGTTAAATCTAAGGAAAGACTACGCTCGCTTCGCTCGCTCCGTAATCAGTTCCGCTACTAGTTCCGTTCCACTGCTTCAGCTCTTAAGTATGGATACGTATTTAATTGAACGTTCGATACAAAAACAAACATGATACCCATTTTAAACTACATCATCCATGCATAATCGCATTATTGTCGTAACTTTAGGCTCTTGGATTCTGATTGCGCAGGGTGCCATCAAAAGACAGCTTGACCAACCGACCAGAGACGTAGCCAAGGGGGGGGGGGCACAGGGGCCATGCCCCCCTCTAAAGGCGAAAAATAAAATAAAACTTAAGAAAAAATAACCACAGCTGCACCACACCCCAAGAGATAGTGGGCCAAATCCGAGGAGTTTTCCTTTTCTGGAGGGGCACGACACTAGGCCGCGACCTGTGGCCCCTCCCTGAGCAAAATCCTGGCTACGTGCCTGCAACCGACAAGGGGAATCACGAATGCTGTCTTTGTACGGTGCTTCAATTTTCGATTACACCGGACTCCAGAGTTAATTCTGAGCCACCGATATATTCGGAGAGATGAGTGTGCCGGTCTGCCGCTGCGCCGGAGCCACGGCGACAATGTCGAGAGAACCGAGATAGTGTAGTTTCCCATCGTCGATCTGCAGACCTCAAAGCACTTCAAGGGGGCAAGAGACGGTGAGTGGGAATGTTGCTGATTAGCTGGACACAAGGTTCCCGGAAAAGGGACGCTGTTAACCCGCGACCTGGTGGGGGGGGGGGCTATTTTTTGCCCCCCCCCCCCCCTCCAGACTTTTCGATATATCTCCAGAACCGCTGCGCCGATCGTCACCAAACTTTCAGTACCCTCCCGGACATCAATTTTACACATTGTGACCAAAAATTTTTCCAAAGGCTATGATAGGTTGGCCGGAAATGACGTCAGAGTGTCGTCATGTTCTGCCGTTTTCGACCCAAAAAAGGGTTTAGCAGGAAGAGCTGTCAGGCCTATAGCTTTGCAAATACAGAAAAATGATAAAGACATAAAAGGTGTAGAATCCACAGGGCTACAAAACTGCTATCTCGGATTTTTGAAATTTTTGGATTTTGACCCCCAAAAATCAAAAAATAATTTTTTTGGATATAATAATCGAAAAATCCAAAAAGTTTTTTGAATTTCGCAAAGACCGGAATATATGTATGTGATAGTCTTTACCGCCTTCCATCCACATACCAAAATTGAGATTGATACCTCTCTTTTTGGCGAAGTTATAGCGAAAAAACTGTTCAAAATTGATGACGTCAAATTTTCAAACTCAATTTTTAGCAATTCTAGACCCGGTAGCGCAAAACAAAGACCACCATTATACTCCCAGTGACGAGCTGCATCGAATCAATACCCATTTTATGCAAAACTATCAACTTTAAAATTTGACCTTTTTGGCCTGACCTTGACCTGACCTTGACCTGAAATTCACCAGAAGGTGACCTAAGCCGTTCCTGATGGTCTTATAACCAACACCATTGAGTTGGAAATGAAAAATTGGCCATAAAACATGCATCACACAACCTTAGTAAAGTTGGGCTCATGTGACCTGACCTGTGACCCTTGGTGACCTGACCTGTGACCTGACCTGGTATTGTCAGTGACCTCTAATAGCAACATATCTACTAGGCAACTGACGCCCTATCGCTGATTCTCGACAAAATGCGTTTTCCTCGGTGTTATAGCGCATTCCCTAGAAGACCCGTGAACGGTGAAACATTTCATCTTTGACCTGACCTGTGACGTCATCGGTGACTCCGAGGTTAATGAAATTTGGTTTCCTTCGACAAATTTGACAGGCCTTTCGAACGCCGTTTGAATTTTGCGGATTCGTCCAGCAGTTTCGGAGATACGAGGGGGGGGGCAAAAAATAGCCCCCCCCCCCACACCAGGTCGCGTTATAAACAGACCCCACCAGGGCGCGGGTTAAGTCACGTGGTGTGCAGCTACAAGCACAGAACCGCCCGGCTCCTGAACCAAAATAGAGGATGGTGTAAGAACTTCAGGAATTTCCCTAAAGAAACTGCATCCACAAAGCCTGTGCGAAACATCTAGGGCGACAGCACTGTGCCGCGGCTGAGGATGTAAGCAAATGCCGCCTCATTGTCGGGGATCGCTAGACTGCTGAGAGCTCCACACGTCTGCGGGAACGCCCTTTAGAGGGCGCACCCTCAAAAGGCCCCCCAATGTGCACTCGTATTCACAGGGCTCTGATTATAGCGCCTACTGCAACAGAGCAGAGGGCTATTAAGTACGCCTTGCTGCATCCTCCACCGGCCACAGCTGTGCTGGTAGGCTCTGGACACTGCTGCCCGTAGAATATGACAATGTTGGGCTTGTGTGGGTGCTACAAGGTAGCCTATATTTCCAATATGATTGAGCATCATGGTATGAGGGAGCCGGAAAGAAGACGGTAAAGACTAAAGTCATTGACCAGGAATGGAAGTGACAGGGGATGACGTCCCAAAGACACATGGGCGTGGTTACGGAGCGAGCGAAGCGAGCGTAGTCTTTCCTTAGATTAACGGAAATTTCTGAGTATGAGCGGCCGGCCGGCCGGCCGCGCGGACGCTTTTGCGAGGCTTATATCTCAGCAACCACTCGACCGATTAACATGCGGTATTTTTTGTAGGGTAGCTTCATTCCTTCTACCAAGTATTGGACTATTCCCGATGCATGTGGGTGACCCCTTATGCACGTGCCACGTGCAAAACGAAGAGGTGTCAGTTTTGCAATGGGGTTGGGAACTCGATTTTTTAAGAATGCATGAAAATGATCAAACTATTTTCACAGAATTTATGGTGCATACCATTGCCTCATAAAATCAATATGCTGAGAGAAATGGGGGAAGAAAGATAGGAAACTTGTTTTGAAAAGTTCTTGAAAAAAGATGCTCTTGATGCTGTTACGTCACATGTCACCTTCTGCGGTTGACAAATAATGGCGCATCTGGCGCACCACAGATTACATGTTATATCAATGGGTGAAAGATGTTGTTTGTTTCACTCTGTCATTCGCGCTGTTTTTAGCTTTAAATTATGCTAAATCATTCACGGATGTAGGTTCAGTGTCAAAAATTGATGCTCTGCCGTGTACTGTTCCCATTTAACATCAAGCGCGTGGTAAACATTTTGTGTACCTCGAATTTTCAAATGAAAAACATATGGTGAATCGGAAGATGCTGAAGAGCAAAAGCTCTTTCTAATACGTATTTGGCATAATTTACAATTAAACTGTTAACCTTTCTCTTATCTTATTAATAATTTATTTGTTCTTTTTTTATGAAAATAACTTAAGGCGTTGAGAACCGAGGTAATTTCTATCTACCGTGCCTTAACTTACCAGCAACAGCAATCTATCTACGCTCTACGGTGGCAAGGGAGACTGTGAAAGAAGCGTAAGATGGATTCTAAACAATTCTTTTGTGATATACTGAAGGGCAAAGTGCAGAGAAGAGCGTACAAGTCCTGTTTTGTGCCAGGCTGTTGCAGTAGCACTTATGAAACTCCGAAAACGATCTTCGTTCATGTCCCGAACAACATTACCCTGAGGAGATGATCGTCTGCAATAGC